TTATTGTAAGGATGCTTTGCTCATTAGTGGACATTGCAGAGTCTTGAAAATACAGTTCTAAATTTTAAATCTACGCTTGGAACTACACTTCATAAATCTGCAATAACGAACAGATAGTTGTGATAATCATCATGATAAACATAGAATAGCTAGTTGCTGTGAATATAGACCACAACTTCCCACCATACTGAATTTTAAAAAATCTGAAAAAAAAAACGGAAAAAAAATTTAGAAACCGAACAAAAAACAATAATTTTTGGATTTTTCTATTTTTTTAATCTTAACTTGATTGATTAAAAACAAAAATGGAAACAAATACTGGTTACAAGAGCTGATCCGTTTTTGAAATTTTAGCAGAATAATTAACTTAGAGGTTGGTAACTAGAGTTTGAATAACTAACTCAACTCGTCTAATTTACTGTCTGAAAACCCGAAATATTTCAGAACAGTTTTCATTAAAACTGAGAAAAAGGAACCTTTTTTCTACGTTTCTAAAATTCCTTGTAGCGATTGAAAGGGTTTTAATCCTTACCACGATTAAACTTCAGTTAGTGAAACATCAAATTTACTTCGTTTTCACTGAAAGTGCCCTGACTCAGAGTTTTAAATGATATATTTTGGAGTGTTTTATTATGGAATATGATTATTACTAGTCAATACTTAACAATCATATTCAATGCAAAAGTATATGTCGTGGAGCGGCAACTAGAAACAAAAAACCTGAACAAGTGGCACTGGGTTTTCCCTCTGTGTTCCAACCATTTTTTTGCATAGTTTGCTTAATGTTTGTATTCTCTTATTTTTGTGTTTCTAATCAGCTGCGGATAAACGGAGTAAATTGCCCCTCTACCTTTTTGATATTTTTTGCGACATTTATTTCACGCCGTCAAGTCCCAGTCTTAAATTCCATTTCTTAAGCTAATTTTTCTCATTTTTATTAATTGAAAAGAGTACAAGCCAAAAAAAAACCTGTCAAAAATAATACTCCGATCAGTTCAAAAGATGCCCGAAGCGGTAGTTTTGCTCAACAATGCACAAACTTGCCTGCTGTACCCATGCTTTTTCTGAATCAGGTCTTTCCTGAGAATAAAAAAAGCTCGCGAAAGATTTTTGGTCGACCCATAATTAATAAAAAGATGCACTTACATAAATTTTTGATTTTTTTGAAAACTCACACAAGTTTTGTAAATGACATGGGACATATTTAGCGCAAAGCAGCGCAATAAAAGTGTGCTAAATGCTTGCCTCAAATCAAATTGGAACAATTTTTCAGCCAGATTCAGCTGTATATTGCGTTTTAATTGTTCCAAATGAGCGGAGATGGCGTTTTTCAAACCGCTGTACTGTTGCGAAGAAAGATCACAGGTGAGATTTTTTTTCATAATTGAGCTCAAGACGTGATGCAAAAAAATCGAAGAGGCAAATCAAACTTCCAAAATTGTATCAAAAAATTGTAAATTCAACTCAATTTTTCAAATAATTTTTTGTTGAAATTTTTTTTTTGTAAAAATTACACAAATGTGTCAAAACGGAAATTACTACTTTTATAAATGATAGTGGTGAAAAGATGGTAGGTAGTACAAATACGATGAATAAGGATAACCTAATTCGAGGAACTTCATTGTCAGAACAAAGTACAGTCAAAAAGGGAAGGAAATGGCTGGTTGCTGGGCATTTTTACGAACAGCTCAACCTAATTTCAGAACTGAATTACTTGTTGAGTTTTACTGAGCAAAACTTATTTTTTATCTATGCAAGCAAAATAATTTTTTAAATGTTTTTTTTTCGGAGCCATCTTTGGGACATTTTGAGGAAGAAGCAAGCTGAATAAAAAAATATTGGCTTAATTCGCTAATAAAAAGGCTCGAAAAGGGTTTTGGTACGCTTTTTCAGCCTGCCGCGCAGAAAATTTTGCCTGAATTGTGTCTTTTTAGCTGTTCAGCGTTGCTCAAGAAATATTTTCTTATTCGTTTTTGATAGAAAATCTGGATTCGCCCTTCAATAAAAATTATTTGGAAGCCATAGTCAAACAACCTCCAGTAAAAAAGGCAGAATTTCAACCTTATTTTTAAACTCAAACAATTAAATAAAATTTTGAAGTTTGAGAAACTTGGAAAGAGATTTACTGTAAGGATGCTTTGCTCATTAGTGGACATTGCAGAGTCTTGAAAATACAGTTCTAAATTTTAAATCTACGCTTGGAACTACACTTCATAAATCTGCAATAACGAACAGATAATTGTGATAATCATCATGATAAACATAGAATAGCTAATGGCTGTGAATATAGACCACAACTTCCCATCATACTGAATTTTACAAAATCCGAAAAAAAACGGAAAAAAAATTTAGAAACCGAACAAAAAACAATAATTTTTGGGTTTTCCATTTTTTTAATCTTAACTTGATTGATTAAAAATAAAAATGGAAACAAATATTGGTTACAAGAGCTGATCCATTTTTGAAATTTTAGCAGAATAACTAACTTAGAGGTTGGTAACTAGAGGTTGAATAACTAACTCAACTCGTCTAATTTACTGTCTGAAAACTCGAAATATTTCAGACCAGTTTTCATTATAACTGAGAAAAAGGAACCTTTTTTCTACGTTTCTAAAAATCCTTGTAGCGATTGAAAGGTTTTTAATCCTTGCCACTATTAACATTCAGTTAGTGAAACATCAACTTTACTTCGTTTCCACTGAAAGTGCCCTGAATCAGAGTTTTAAATGATATATTTTGAAGTGTTTTATTATGGAATATGATTAGTTACTAGTCAATACTTAACAATCATATTCAATGCAAAAGTATATGTCGTGGAGCGGCAACTAGAAACAAAAAAACTGAACAGGTGGCACTGGGTTTTCCCTCTGTGTTCCAACCATTTTTTGCATAGTTTGCCTAATGTTTGTATTCTCTTATTTTTGTGTTTCTAATCAGCTGCGGATAAACGGAGTAAATTGCCCCTCTACCTTTTTGATACTTTTTGCGACATTTATTTCACGCCGTCAAGTCCCAGTCTTAAATTCCATTTCTTAAGCTAATTTTTCTCATTTTTATTAATTGAAAAGAGTACAAGCCAAAAAAAAACCTGTCAAAAATAATACTCCGATCAGTTCAAAAGAGGCTCGAAGCGGTAGTTTTGCTCAACAATGCACAAACTTGCCTGCTGTGCCCATGTTTTTTCTGAATCAGGTCTTTCCTGAGAATAAAAAAAGCTCGCGAAAGATTTTTGGTCGACCCATAATTAATAAAAAGATGCACTTACATAAATTTTTGATTTTTTTGAAAACTCACACAAGTTTTGTAAATGACATGGGACATATTTAGCGCAAAGCAGCGCAATAAAAGTGTGCTAAATACTTGCCTCAAATCAAATTGGAACAATTTTTCAGCCAGATTCAGCTGTATATTGCGTTTTAATTGTTCCAAATGAGCGGAGATGGCGTTTTTCAAACCGCTGTACTGTTGCGAAGAAAGATCACAGGTGAGATTTTTTTCATAATTGAGCTCAAGACGTGATGCAAAAAAAATCGAAGAGGCAAATCAAACTTCCAAAATTGTAACAAAATTGTAAATTCAACTCAATTTTTCGAATAATTTTTTGTTGAATTTTTTTTTTGTAAAAATTACACAAATGTGTCAAAACGGAAATTACTACTTTTATAAATGATAGTGGTGAAAAGATCGTAGGTAGTACAAATACAATGAATAAGGATAACTTAATTCGAGGAACTTCATTGTCAGAACAAAGTACAGTCAAAAAGGGAAGGAAATGGCTGGTTGCTGGGCATTTTTACGAACAGCTCAACCTAATTTCAGAACTGAATTACTTGTTGAGTTTTACTGAGCAAAACCTATTTTTTATCTATGCAAGCAAAATAATTTTTTAAATGTTTTTTTTTCGGAGCCATCTTTGGGACATTTTGAGGAAGAAGCAAGCTGAATAAAGGAATATTGGCCTAATCCGCTAATAAAAATGCTCGAAAAGGGTTTTGGTACGCTTTTTTAGCCTGCCGCGCAGAAAATTTTTCCTGAATTGTGTCTTTTTAGCTGTTCAGCGTTGCTCAAGAAATATTTTCTTATTCGTTTTTGATAGAAAATCTAGATTCGCCCTTCAATAAAAATTATTTGGAAGCCATAGTCAAACAACCTCCAGTAAAAAAGGCAGAATTTCAACCTTATTTTTAAACTCAAACTATTAAATAAAATTTTGAAGTTTGAGAAACTTGGAAAGAGATTTACTGTAAGGATGCTTTGCTCATTAGTGGACATTGCAGAGTCTTGAAAATACAGTTCTAAATTTTAAATCTACGCTTGGAACTACACTTCATAAATCTGCAATAACGAACAGATAATTGTGATAATCATCATGATAAACATAGAATAGCTAATTGCTGTGAATATAGACCACAACTTCCCACCATACTGAATTTTAAAAAATCTGAAAAAAAACGGAAAAAAAATTTAGAAACCGAACAAAAAACAATAATTTTTGGATGTTTCTATTTTTTTAATCTTAACTTGATTGATTAAAAATAAAAATGGAAACAAATACTGGTTACAAGAGCTGATCTATTTTTGAAATTTTAGCAGAATAACTAACTTAGAGGTTGATCAACTTGTTTAATTTACTGTCTGAACACCCGAAATATTTCAGACCAGTTTTCCTTGACACTAGCGGCTGAAAGATCTTTAGTATTTTATCACGCATGAATTCTAAGAGCTTTCTTTGAGGTTTTCAAATTTGGCTGAAATAAACTTGAAGTGATTGGAACATTAAACTAAATCGCAACACTTCGCGAATTTATTCGACTTAAGAAATAGACCGATGATGAGATATTGGTGGAAAAAGGTTTGCAGTTAAGTTATAATTAAACTCTTTTTTTATAATTAAGCCCGAAAATTGCCTGGCACTGATATTGTCTCGAATTTTAATAACATCTGCAAGAAAATTTTAACTAGCACTTAAGTTAGTAATTTCCATCATTATACAAAATACAGCTTATCTAGTAGGTGAAGGATGTTGTGTTCATTAATATTGTGTTCATTAAACAATCATCTGCCGTCTAAAAAACGAGTGCAAAATGTTCAGATTTCAGTTTGGGTAAGTTCTATTTTTCTATCTTTAGCCTCGAAAATATGTCAGTATTGTAATCAGATTGTTCACAGCATGAAATTTTCTAATTGTAGGAAGGAAAGATGAATTGAAAGTTTATCGAAGGGTTTTGAAAGACATTTAAAACTCTGAACATATCCTTTGATCTCATTAGGCCCTAGAAGTTTTCACTCCCGGAGAAGTTTTCAACAAAAATTATCCACAATACTTACTATTTTATTAATGCAAGTGGGGGCTTAGTAATGAGCATGTAAGCCTATTAACAAATTTTGAAGAAATGAACAAGTTAATTTCATTCTTTGACTATGCATGCTAACAGGCGCCCGTTACAATCTATCTTGCTTGTGCAGAAGTAACTCAAATGATTTTTAACCACCAAAAATCATTGGACCACTGCCAATAATTCGGAATCTTCTTACTGGTTCCGCTGGAATTGTCTTATAATAGCATCACCACAAAATTGAATGCGTCACTTCAATCTGTCATTGTTCGAGATACCCAGTTTCAAATTGAGGTTTGGTTCAATTTTTTTATTTTATTTTTTAATTTTGAAGTTTCCGAGTTAGACCTCTGTTCTCTACTCGCAAATATCTACAAATATCCAGCTCTACAAAATAGTGAATCTACTGTTGAACGATTTTTGCACCCAGTTATGACATAACTTATATTATATTTTAATCCGCAGAAAAAAGTATTTGGGATCGGTTTTTTTATTCTTCGGACAAATTTTCACTTTTTAACTTGCCAGATTTGAACGGAGTTTCTTGTATCACCTGAAGGAAATTGACATGAGTTATATCTTGAGCTCAAAATAAAAAAGTTATTTTGTTGTGATCATTTTTCATAACGTTGTGTGGACTCAAAAGGTACCAATTCGGCCAACATGTGACAACTGACGCGCTATCTAATTTCTGCTGTTAATGCGTGCAGTTAATATAGTGGTGATTTAAATTATGCGGACAAAACCAGCAAAACTTGAATTTTCAAACACTTTTTTCTCAAATTGGGTTAAGACTAGACAAAAATTGGAGGAAACAAAAGTTGATGGTGCAACTTTTTTCCAAATTTCTCAACCAAATTTTAACCCCGAAAATGGGTAATTTTGGATTTTTTCAATTAATCAAGATTTACGCTGAAACTATTATGTTAATTGATGATAAACATAAAGAAGCCTCTCGTACCCAGCCCAACAAAGTTTTAGAGGTATTAAATCTCCAAAAATTTGAGTAAATTATTTAAATTTTGCTTTTAATCAAAGATTTTGGGCTTTAGGTAGTAAAAATCACGTTTCCTGACTATCAAAAAAAAATATTTTCTTTTATACAGGTTTTTGGAGGCTTAACACTTCTAGAACTTTGTTGAGCTATATAAGAAAAGAAGCTTCTTGTGAAATAAATCTCTCATCAATTAACAAAGTAGTTTCAGCGTAATTCTTGATTAATTGAAAAAAGCCAAAACGACCCATTTTGGGGTAAAATTTTGGTTTACATTATGATGAAATTCATAAATTTTTATACGCTTCACTTTTTGTCTTATCTTAACCCACTTTGAGAGTAACGTGTTTGAAAATTCAATTTTTATTCATTTTGTTGGGATAGCTTTAATCAGCACTGTTTACGTTAAATTGTTAAAATAAACATTAAAAAATTCAAATTTTTGATTTTTTTCAAATGTTTTTTCCCAATACGGAATCCTTAGTCATCCTTCGAAATTACCAATTTCAATGAGTCCTATTGTTTTCAGTAGATGACATGATCCGCGGTACTAAAAGTAACTTTGAGTTGTTTGTTCGCGTTTTTCATTCGAGAAAATATAATATTTAAACTGTTTTTCGTAAGTTTTCGATAGCATTTAACCTGGTTATTTCATTGGTAGAAAAGCTTAGCAATTTATAGAATAAATGCAGATTACGTTAAACTGAGTTCAAAATTTTTTTTGATAATTATCGATAGTTCAAATAAAATGAACCCTAGAATGAGTTGCAGAAAATCTAAGTTGATGATTGTGTGAGTACTGATACTTGAAAACTTACATCTGAAATCCTCAAACGACATCTCGAACAATTCAAGTTATTGGTCAGATTATCTAACAATTAAGCAAATGCCTTTTACGCAGATTGACAAAACATAATTTTTTTTTAAAATTGAAAATTTAATCAAAATACAACCAAATCTGATAACTTTTTAAAAATTAATTTTTAAATTATCCAAGACAATATGACAGAATGTCGTACAAGTCTAGGAAAGCATCAACGGTGCTTCTCTACAGCATACTTTGAATTATTCTCTGACCGGAAACAAAGGTTGTTCCAAAGAAGAAAATAGCATCAACCTTTTTTTTTCGATTGAAAAAAACGTTTCGAATGAACACTGAAAATCAGTTGAAATCAAAATTGAAAAACAAGTATTTTTGTTTTAATCACTTAGGTCAAAATCTGAATATAAATTCAAAATGTATAATCACCCAGTACATCAAGCAAAAATCAAAAACATGCTTAAGTTATTGCTCTTAAATTTTTTGAAACAAAAATAATGTTTTTCTTAGAAACTTTTCTATGTTTCAGAAGGGCGTCCACAAACAAATATCTCATATACATTTAATTTGCTTGTAAGTTTATGATTTGCGAGTGGAAATTCTTGATTAACCCCCTCAATTGATGTTTCATTTTGAAGTTTTTTTTCCGATAGGCACAGCACCTTTTACTTTTCAAACGAATCATCTCAGTATCGCTCTAGTCGATATAGAAAATGCCAGAATTTTTGTTATTTTTTTATGTATACTGCAACAAATACATTGTAAAAAAACTAATCGCATTATCTGGTAGATTTTTTTCGGCTTCAGTTATACACTAATTAATTGTGTATGCTGTTAACCCTAAAAACATGGATTTTGTTTCCAATTCAATATCCGGGTTGTTAGAGGCTATAAATTATTCATACGTCAATCAAGACTATTTCGGTTTACAGTCATGCTTTAAACAGTGACAGTAACTCTTTCCGATGATCTAGACGTTAATACAAACCAATAAAAGACCCCGCAACTCGTTTTTCATGAGCAAAAACAAAAACTCGTTTTTCGATGAAGCTGAAGTTTTCATGAACAATTCTCAAATTGTCAAACGCACTTCATTGGTAAACTGTTTTTCAAAGTACCAATCATACTCACACATCTCATCAAAACAAAAAACTCAATATTTTTATAGTCAAAGATAACTTTCTGAAGGACTAATTTATTAATAAAAAAAAACTTCGAGATTTTCGTTTTCTTGATTATACCATGCGAACCAAGGATTGACTTGTGTTGTGTCTCATACTGAAAAACTTGTGAAGGACTAATTTATTAATAAAAAACTTCGAGATTCTCGTTTTCTTGATTATACTATGCGAACCAAGGATTGACTTGTGTTGTGTCTCATACTGACAAACTTGTGCGCGCAGTGTGCTATGAATCAAGTCAGGCTATAAAAATACATGATCTTGAACTACTGCATTCTTTATTTTATTCAGATTTTTTTCTCTCTTCCACTTGAAAACATGGTAATAGCCACTCATTAGCTGCCTTATAACGCGACTTGATCCACAGCACGCATCAGGTTGAATTTTCCGGTCTTGATGTGCAATTAAGAACATAGTGATTTGACATCACAAAAGGGGTAATTTGCTTTCTATTGTGTGAATATGTAGTTTCCTATTTCTTTCTCGACATTTTGGAGACGACTTCTTTTGAGCTATAGTCTATACCTCCTACTAAGTTCCTACGTAGTTTGTACATGGACCTGTATGTATAATTGCACCCATTGCATGAAAAAATAACGCATTGGCGTCGTAACCAACCAATGATCCCTCTAAAGTGTGTCCATGTTCACCAATATCTGATTTATTGATTTTCTTGTAGATTCAGACCTCCTACATATCTTTTTTGCACAATACTATTCCAACCTTGAAATTTTTTTGCCAAACGGTAAAATTACCATATGATTAAACCGTTGGAGAAATTTGTTCGCGGCACCACTTAACATTAGTATTTGTTTCAATAAATCATTTTCCTAGCCTTGTAAATTAGAATAAGCTTTTGAGGCGTCTCTTGTAGTAGTTGAAAATAAAATAAAATGTATTTTCGTAAAAAAACTTGCTCTGTCTCACAATTTTGCCAAATCAACCCTTTTTAATTATCTCATGGTTTTCCACAACCATCTTTGATTTTTCGGATATGTCCGATCTCCTCCCTTTTAAAGAAAAGGTTGATATTCAGCGTTGCGCATGTTTTTGTCCTGCAATTGGGAAAATAAAGAAGAAAACTGTCGTAATGATGTTTATAAATAGTTTATCAAAAGTCTATAAGTAGTCAGATAGATAAAAAAAACTTATTTGCGGTTACTCCATACACGCTGAGAAATCGGTCTAATGAAGTAACTACCGCTGAAAGCTGACAACTATCATTAAAACGAAATATTGGTAAACCTAATTTTAACAATTTTTTGTTACCCTTGAGTTCGATAATGGAAAAGTGTCATAAGTTAACTGAAAAAGAAAATCGAATGAAACTAAATAGATAAATCTACTTTTAACCCGAACCACTGGTAACCGTTTGATATAGGAACAATTTTTGTAAATAGTTGCCCTAGCTTTTTCAGACTAGAAGCGTTTTCATCCATTTGAGTTTTCTGGTAATCAATTATGAGTCTTAATTGTTCCTCGCTATATTCATCATTTTCCAATTAGAAACCAGCTTTTCGTTGTACTAACTCAAAAATTGCATCAATAAATAAATCGATAAGATGTGGGATTCTTTCTACAAGAAGAAGTATGTCAATAGCGTAAACAAAAATGTTTTTATGAGTTGCAACTGTCACTAGGATTCGTTGACTTGTGAAACATAGTTTTTTTTGTATCTTTAAACAAACTGTCAGAGGGATAATTGTCTTCGCCATTCGGTCCAACAACAGATCAAAGATGATTTCAAAATGAAAAGATACAAATGATTGAAAT